AAACCACTCCAACAGTATAAAGTCTCTAAGCCTATTCTCCAAAATGAACAAGATTTCTCATACAAAAGATGCTAAGTAAAATAAAAAAAAAACATATCATAAAACATATCTTAATGGTGAATAACATAAATGCTTGATAGTGAAGAAAATTACAGGTGCGTAGCCATCCTCACCATTGTCAAAAGTTTCTTGGATATATACATATGGTATGCAAAAGCATTGAAGTCATTACAGTCTTCAGAAGCAAAATATGATTACAGTTAGTGCATACCAAACTTTCTAAAAACAGAACACAAATACTGATCAACACTTCTTGCACTTCAGAGATATGTAAAAGCCAACATGCAATTCAGGAGTGTATAGATATACAAGACTATAATATAGATCAAACCGCAGGAGTCCATCATGTCAGAAAAATCATACGAGTAAAATAGAGTAATACTAACATAATGGGATATGAACCACATCTTAAAAGTAGAAAAAAGCCTTTTATGTCTAACTAACTGATCAAATACTCAACCAGTATGGCATATATGTCAAAGAAAGTTGAATTACTTCCTAGAAACCATCCAAGTAATTAGTTTATTCAAGTTCCATTGGGGTGATAACCTAAACAAGTGGATAACACACCTGTTTCTTTAAAAATTAGAACTGGGACCATATCCCAGCTCCTGGCAGCAGGTTACCTACTGAAACATGATATTAACTAAATGGCCAGTTTATTGTACTGTTTTTCAATTTTATTTATTACTGTAGCTAATTGGTACCTAATAACAAGAAAAATTAGTAGTTAACTAGTAATTAGATGTGGGTGATTGTATATATTACTAGCTGGTTAAGCAAGACAGTTTTTATCTTTTTTTTTTTCAAATCCTAACATATACTTAAAATTTTTAGCAATCTTTTCCAGTTTCTATTGTTACTGTTTGTACTTTGAAGAATTATTTAGCTTTCTGAGCCTTAGTTTTAGCCTACCTAAGTTAGCACGTATAACATCTCTCTTGTTTAAATATCTTAATCTCACCAATGCAAAGATTTTTCTTTTCTCGTGGTTTACTATCATTTTATTATGATTTCACAGCAGCATTGTTGTCTTAATCTAATTTAACTATAAGCTTGAGTGATGATCCCATGAACAAAGTAGTTACTTGATCTAAGTTTTCAGTTCTTCAATACTCATCTGTTACAGTTTCTTATATTTGATAACCTAAATTTTCTTGTTAAACTTTCTTGTTTTCTTAATGTTCATTTTCAAGAGGGAAAATGTTTTTCCCAGCCTATATTGTATTTACTTTCTCCTCCTCCTCATGTGGTAAAAGAGTAGCCCAAGAGTTGGCAGTGGGTGGTGTTGACTAGTTGCCTTCCCTCTAGTCTTACACTGCTAAAATAGAAACGGCTAGCGCAGATAGCCCTTGTGTAGCTCTGCACGAAACTTTAAATCAAATCAAACCTCCACATGTGCACAAAAGATGTATTAAAAAAGACTTCTGATCTATCTTTTTTAAAGTAGAAGAAATATTCATCAATGCCTAGGTTCTACGTGTCACATACTTGCTTTCAACCTTCTCTTACATTTGTTTTTGTCATGTTTTCTTTTATGGGTTTTCATGATGCACCTGTTAAATGCATGGGGAAAGCATTGAAGCCTCCGGGAGAGGACACAAGAGTCAGGTGCAAATGCTGATCCCTTCCCCAAGGGTACATTACAGGTTTGGTGATAATCTTTCCAGAAGTTCCAATTGTAACTGGATGTATACACAGAGACTTTTGTCAAATAATAGCTTAGATACATAGTTTTCATGCAACTAATAAAAATTTCATAGGATTCTATCCTTGCTTCATTGTTTTGTTCTCTCCATTTTTATTGACCTATGTAAATGTTAAGTGTGAGCCCAGACAGAAAATCTTGTGTTGACTGTCCCTTTAAGCTTTGAGGGCTTGAAGAGTATAAAACTTGCAGCTTTGTTAAGTAGTGACCCAAAGATAAGTTTATAAGTGATACTATTTAGTTTTTCCCTCATTCTGACCATTCTTCTTCCTTCTGTGTACCAGACAAATTCTTATATTGTTTTCCTTTTCCAAAATGGCTGGAACTAAGTGTCATCTTCTAAGCCTACTAATCTTAAGCAGACTTTACAGTTCAAAGGCTCAATTTGATTTTAATATCTTCCACTGGAGCTTCATTCATCTTCTTTTGTAATTACATTCATAGGATTGGTTCTCTACTTTTTCTGCCAACACATGATGCACTGTAACTTTAGAATGAGCAATTACATTTCTTTCTCCTTTCTGAATCACAAACATTTTTTATTAATGCTCTGCATTATGCTTTATAGTTTGCCCAAGTTTAGGTCATGCCTAGAGGTATACGTGTACTGCCAAACTTCCTTTCAATATACATTTGGTGTATTGTTCAGTGGGAAGTTTATTTTCTAACTTTTTAAACCCTCTTATTCCCCCTGTCATGTTTTGTTAAGCAGATCTTGTGTGTGTGTGTGAACTAAAATGCATTGGAATGAACAAAATGCATGCTATAACCTACCTGTATGTGAGTTTCTGATGATAAATCTGTGGTTGCTCATATCTGTTTAATCAAGATTTTTTTTCCTTCATGACTGTGACGTATGGTGCTAATGTTCACAGGAAGTTTATGTAACATTTATTATCCAGAGATTCCTTATACTGCCTTCCTTCATATCCATCTATTTTCTGTGATCTTGTTTGGAGATAAACAGTCATTGCTCTGTTATCAGGATTCCTGCTGTAGTCTATTTCTGTTTTTCTTCCATTTACTCTCTCATTGGCATATCACTGGTACTATAGAGTCCATTCAATATAGCAATTGTAGGAAATGCAGTTTTCCAAAGTCCATCAACAATATCAATTGTAGTTTAATCTCTACTTCTTACAAAAGTGATCTAATTTTCAATGAGATGATGACAGCTTGCTTGTACCTGTATTTTGCCATCCAATTGTGCTAAATGTTATGTTATTTCCAAAACTGTTATATGGTTATCAGTTCTTGCAATAATAATTTATGATGAACATGCACCCTCTCTCTTTTTACCACCTGATTCTTTTTTTTTCCATTCCAATATTTTCCTGGGATAACTGTTGTTAAGGCAGTATCTACTGGTGGTTGATATTCGAAAATAAAAAGCCAATAAAGTAATGCCGTAAATATAGCCACTGCCAAAATTAATTGATCATATATTATAGCAGCTGAATTGTATGTAGTGCCATGCTTTGAAAATATAGGCATTTTTGCAACATTTTTTTGCCTTGCATTTCAGCAAATCTGTGATGCCTATGACTATCGTTGAGCGGATGTTTCTGTATGATCTTCAAAGTAAGCAAGACATAACATATGTTTTGAAAGTTAGTACATCTTTTTTTCTCCCAGTTGTCTTGTATCTTATACTGGACTTGAGTTGAGGTCAGATTATCTGGCTCATTGATTGTTAATCTTGGAGAATTTTTGGCCATGGTCATTCACCCACTTCTTTTTCTTCTTAGTATAGTATTTCCCATCAGCTTAGGCAATGATTCTCATTAATAACCTGTTCTTTCTTTTTCCTGATTCTGGTCTCTGTCATTAGACCTTGAATTTCTACATGTGACTGAGTATCTGGGCATGTATTATAGTCTGGGAGGGTGGAAATAAGCTACTGTATTAAAAATAGTTAAAATGGGAGAAACATAATATTTTTTTCTTAATTTTTATAAGACAAAAATTAATGTATGAGTTAATTTTTTGTCGAGTTTTCTCTACTTTTTTAATACTGTATAGTCTGGGAGTAGTCTGTTCTATCTTACATGCATCACTGAATTCCAAAATGCATGGATTTTGGAATTGACTGTAGCATAGAGTTCTTCCTTCTTTCATTCAAGATTTCTGGTAGACTTATTTATGTAGATCATATCATGAGGATGAACCTTTTCCTTCCTTTCACTCCAACTGGATGATTGGCCAGACATGTTTGTTGGTTATTATAAGGTGTTCTGCTTGACCCTGCTTGTAAGACTAAGTTGACTTTTGGGTAATATGTGCATTTATCAGTTTCATTATTCACTTGGCTTATCTATCTCTTACTACTATTCAGTGTGGTAAGATTATTGAAAGAATATATTGAATATGCATTTGTCACTTTTGTGTTGATTCAGCTTACTTCTTAGAGTCCATCACTGTTGTAGTGGTTTCAAGTGTTGAATGATTTTTGATGCCAGTTTAGCCAGAGAAATAGTGGATGTTAATGTATATGAAGGCTGGTAACAGATGTCAGAGGAAGTGATACCATAACAAAACAGATACTCTGTAGAGATTTGGAATGTTTTCAGTGTTTATAAGGGTCACAGAAAAATTCTCTACAAATATGACATAGAATAACATAAGGTGAGAAGTGTTTCTTTTAAATAACTTAAGATAAAAAGGTATTCTGTAGATTATAATACCAAACTGTGCTGTAGAGGTGTTTTCAGAGTAAGTAAAATGTACTTTTGGTCAGAAGTTCCTTCAAATATCATTAGAACAAGCCAATCCAAAAACCTAATTATAGTTTTACCTTTAAAAATGCTGATTTTAATGTTTTAATGAAATTTACTGTAATTGAAACATTATTTAAACTTAAGATCATTCAAGCTAACGTACAAGGCATATCATTATCTGTACCTTAAATGTGGTAAGTGTAATATTCAAAATTGATCAATGTATAGGTCATTTTGTGATTGTAGGGTGTGAGTGAATGACAGTATCTCTTTCATGGAATGTGAAGTTACAAATTGTAGAGCATATTCTTTTGTGTTTAACTCAATCAGTCAAAGTACAAGGCTACTATTTCCACATGAAACCTTACTATTATGATTTTTGTATTGTAGGTTTGTTACTCTTATGTTCATTTTCACTTTCAGGCTAAAGATTGGATATAAGAAATGTTGACTGTTATTGTTTTGACATTGCTATTGTTTTAAGCTCTAACACTGATTTTATAATTCTGTTTAAGAGTATATGTTGGAAGTATCAGTTTTGAGTTGAAAGAAGACACTATCCGTCAGGCATTTTCTCCCTTTGGCCCAATCAAGTCTATCAACATGTCATGGGATCCACTTACACAGAAACATAAGGGCTTTGCTTTTGTTGAATATGAATTAGCTGAGGCTGCTCAACTTGCCCTGGACCAAATGAATGGAGTCATCATTGGTGGAAGAAACATCAAGGTATATTGTGACAAGTTCGGTATTCTTTACTGACCTGTGAAACAGTCATCTCAAACATATCCTATCTTAATATCATACATATTAAGAACTGATTGTATTTCATTGACCTTTTGGTTTTTTGATTTTTTTTTTTTTTTTACAAAATACAAAGTTGACAACTAAAAAAACAGGAGATTTGCAAATTGTGAATAAAATATAGACAGAAAAATTAATAGTACCATTGTTTAAGTATGTATACAGATTTTGTCTTACATTCAAAACTTTATTAAACTACTTTTTGTTTAGGTTATACCAATTAGAATAGCACAAGTATTAGCTAATCCATATTTCAATAGTATAAAAGTTTTAAGTTCTTAATTCTACAAGGAAATATTTTAAAAAATCCTGAATTTCCACTAGTGTGACCCACTTGACACATTTTGTCTTAGCATGTCATCACCCCTCAAAAATGTAAGAAATTAAACATAAAACATTCTAAAAATCGTTATTGCTTAAACAAACCATAAATTTTATAGCCTTCAATTTTCCTTGGTTACAGAGCTATCAAATAGAAAATCAGACCCTTCCTGTCACAATTCATTGATAGTTCTCTCTTACATTTCATTATATATTACCTATAATCAATAGAAAGTCAAGGTTTTCATCTATCAAATCATGTATTGTATAACATTGTGTTCTAAACAGAATATCGTCAATTTCCCTCACAGTACAAGATTTGTTCCCATGGGAAAGTTAACGACTAGCTTGGATGAATTTGTAACAGCTCATGTCGCATAGTTAGAAAGCCAGAAAAATTTTGAGAAGTGAATTTGTCTACTTTTTGCATGTTATTAGTCTATATTCTTTGGTGCATTATTCAATTAAATAAAAATTGTTAAGTGCATTACTATAAATAATCAGGCTTAACTCTTTTCCACAATCGAGGGCAAAAGTACTTTATTTCTTGTTTTTCATATTTATTCTTTATTTATTATTATAAAAGTAACTAAAATCTAAAAATATGGATCTT